AGGCAAGGAGGGAGGCTGGGGGATGATGGGGCTCCCTCCTGCTCAGAGCTTCCTTATCTTGGTGGGTGTTCATTACTGCCCAAGAATTACTATCATTGTTTTCTCCATTAACACACTCTTTGCCAAGTCCATTCCAAAGTTTAAAGTCTGTCAAGTCTGCTGGGAGGTAGGAAGTGCTCTCCTCCACTCTTCTCCTCCCCTGTAGGCTACAGTTCAGGTCATGACAGCAGTGTAGGCAGACTGCAGGACCCTCTACCTCCACCAGCCCCCAGTCCTGGGCTGCGTCCACGGTGGTGACAAAGTATACATGGGCTGCACCCTCAGAGTGGCCTTATCGTGGGTTCTGCATCTTTTTCTGCCAGGCTTTACGAGGAAAGACTGCAAAGACCACACACCTATTTTGTAGTCCTGACCCCATAACCCAGTCCCTGGGAAACCTTGAGTATGTCCTTCATCTCAAGGCCTTGATATTCTTATCTACAAAGTGGTTGTGATTTTATGTCTTATTTCAAAAGAAGTTATAAAACTCAAATGAGATAGTGTAAATGCCGGTGCTTTGACAAGAATAGGGGCTCTAGAAGTAACAGGAATAATAAGCTATATGCAAGCTAGGTGTGATACAGTACAGGGAAGAGGTTAAAACGTGGGCTCTGGGGTCAAAGCTAGAAGCTGGGTTCAACTCTTCCCCCAACCCCATACTCCCCACCTTGCACACTGAACCCCTGTATGACCTTTAGGAATGCATTTAACCTTTAAGCTTTCATTTCCTCTGATGTCAAATATGGCTAAGAATACCCACTTCACAGCGTTGGTATCAAGTTTAAATGAGATAACACATGTAAATTATTTAACACCGTGCCCAAGGTTTGGCAAGAGAACAATTGGTGGTAGTTAAGACCGTTATCATTATATGTACAACCTTAATAATCATCAGGCCTCTTTTTGTAAAAAAAAAAGGAATTATTTTATTTAACTTTATTTATTAATTTACTTTAATTTCACTAGAGAGGAACAGAGTGGGGGGGGGGGAGCGAGAGATCAAGCCACCATGTACAGCAGTGTAGGCAGACTGCAGGACCCTCTACCTCCACCAGCCCCCAGTCCTGGGCTGCGTCCACGGTGGTGACAAAGTATACATGGGCTGCACCCTCAGAGTGGCCTTATCGTGGGTTCTGCATCTTTTTCTGCCAGGCTTTACGAGGAAAGACTGCAAAGACCACACACCTATTTTGTAGTCCTGACCCCATAACCCAGTCCCTGGGAAACCTTGAGTATGTCCTTCATCTCAAGGCCTTGATATTCTTATCTACAAAGTGGTTGTGATTTTATGTCTTATTTCAAAAGAAGTTATAAAACTCAAATGAGATAGTGTAAATGCCGGTGCTTTGACAAGAATAGGGGCTCTAGAAGTAACAGGAATAATAAGCTATATGCAAGCTAGGTGTGATACAGTACAGGGAAGAGGTTAAAACGTGGGCTCTGGGGTCAAAGCTAGAAGCTGGGTTCAACTCTTCCCCCAACCCCATACTCCCCACCTTGCACACTGAACCCCTGTATGACCTTTAGGAATGCATTTAACCTTTAAGCTTTCATTTCCTCTGATGTCAAATATGGCTAAGAATACCCACTTCACAGCGTTGGTATCAAGTTTAAATGAGATAACACATGTAAATTATTTAACACCGTGCCCAAGGTTTGGCAAGAGAACAATTGGTGGTAGTTAAGACCGTTATCATTATATGTACAACCTTAATAATCATCAGGCCTCTTTTTGTAAAAAAAAAAGGAATTATTTTATTTAACTTTATTTATTAATTTACTTTAATTTCACTAGAGAGGAACAGAGTGGGGGGGGGGGAAGCGAGAGATCAAGCCACCATGTTCAGGACTCAAACCAGCTTGGTCATGCGGAAGTCCAGTGCCCTTAACCACCATGCCACCTGCCAGCCCCTATTTGGCCTCTTTTATGGGGCTCATTTTATTCTGAACACCCCATGAAATTTGTCAGTCTCTTCTACCCTCTGAGAATATAGAGAAAGCAGGTGAAACAGAAAGATAGAGCCCACATCATTAGTAACCAGTTATCCAGCTGTTCCTGAGATCTTGTGGTATGCCCAGAACTGATTTTCTGAATAGGGCTAGAAGAAATGCCACTGTTGTCTTTTTCCAAAGGAACTTGCAGCTTAGTTGAGTTGACAAAAGCTACTTATAACCACTAAGGAACCATAAGCACAGTAGGATGATAGGACTTTGCTACTACGGCAAAGTTGGCACCCTTCATTCATTCATTCATTCAACAGGATGTACGTCAGTTGCTGGAGATACAAAGCCCGATGGGCGTTGAAGGAACCCTAAGCTCACTAGTCTTAACAGAGCTCCTGTGGTGGTTGTCTTTCAGCATCTCACGCAAGAAGTGGATCTGGTGCCGGCTCCCACAGGAGCCACCTGCAATGATGCTCCTCTTGCTCACCTGCCTGCTTGCTGTCTTCCCAGGTACGTCTTCCAGGTCCCAACTCCCAAGGCTCTACCCCTTCCCACCCCTGCCCCCAGGATCCAGTGCTCTAGGAACACTGAAATCAGACTTATGTCCAGGATGTCCCTGTCAAAATTTGTACTACCTTGAAGAGGAGTCACACGGAGACCATGCAAAAAGGTCATGCTTGAAAATGGATTGGTGAGGACCAGGAATCAGGAACAGGAACAGTGGTTCCCAATTTCAAGGCCAGGGGTCTGATCAAGGGTATTTTCCAGGAATAAAAAAGACTAAGCATTTATTTTATTATTTTATTTTATTTTAGATTTTTGCCATAGGGTGCATGTGTTCATTTGAAAGAGAGGTAGAGAAAGAGACAGAGAGAGAGAAAGTGAGGAATCACACTCTAGGGGGATAACTACACTTCAATCCATTCTCTTTCACTCTCTTCTTGGGATTTTGAGCATGCACACACATGTGCCCAGCATGCTTTTCAAGTCCAGGACTCAAAACTAGGGGTTGGCTATGTGGGATCCACTGCCTTAACCACCATGCCACCTGCAGGTCCATCTTTATCACTAGCTATAGATTTTGGGGGAAATCTCTTACCCTTCCTGCTCTCAATATTTTTATCCGAAAAGAAGAAGAAGAAGAAGAAGAAGAAGAAGAAGAAGAAGAGGAGGAGGAGGAGGAGGAGGAGGAGGAGGAGGCAGAAGAAAAGAAAACCATGTACAAACTGTTTTTAGAAATATAAGGAGGGGCCAGCAGGTGGCATAGTGGTTAGGATGCTGGATTCTCGCATGGAGTCATGGTTCGAGTCCATGATTTTCCATGGTGGCTTGAAAATCATGCTGGACAGATGTGCAAGCATGCCCAAAATCTTGAGAGGAGAATGGAATGCAGCATGATCATCTCCCCTGGGGGAGAGAGTGATTCTCATTTTCCCTCTCTCTGTCTCTCTCTGGCAAGTGCACACACACTTTATAGGAAAAACCTAAAAGAAAGAAAGGAAGAAAGAGAAAGAAAGAAAGAAAGAAAGAAAGAAAGAAAGAAAGAAAGAAAGAAAGAAAGAAAGAAAGAGAAAGAAAGAAAGGGAAATAACAGATAGCAAATGCAAAAATACAGCACTCTGCAAAAGTGGCAATTTTTTTTAAACAAGAGATATTGCCAATTTGTCATTCTATTGTCCTTAAAATAGCATTAGTGAATAATAATTATAATGTATTTTAATGATGATTAAGCAGCCATTTTACCAATCACAGTCATTGTCCATAGTAGAGTCAATAATGCACAGAGGGCTCATGTGTTAGGTAGAAAATTGTGTGTCCTCAGGGTGGGCTGTGTGGATCCTTTCAGCAGGCTTTACTCCCAAGAACCTGAGAGCCTCTCTGTCTTCTGTCCCCATAGGGGTCTCCATGAAGAGTCCCATATTTGGTCCCCAGGAGGTGAGAAGTGTGGAGGGTAAGTCGGTGTCCATCAGGTGCTTCTACCCACCCACCTCAGTCAATCGGCACACCCGGAAGTACTGGTGCCGGCAGGGAACCAGTGGCCGCTGCAGCACCCTCCTCTCCTCTGAGGGCTACGTCTCCGAGGACTATGCAGGCAGAGCCAACCTCACCAACTTCCCAGAGAATGGCACATTTGTGATGGACATTGCCCAACTCACCCCGAAAGACACTGGGCACTACAAGTGTGGCCTGGGCATCAGCAGCCGTGGTCTGTTCTTCGATGTGAGCCTGGTCGTCAACCAGGGTAAGGATCCAACCTCTTCAGGCTTCTAGAGGAAAGTCAGAGGGAATCATCTCAGGGGTATCCAAGTATGGGATGGGAAGGCTCCTCCTGAGGCAGACTTTTTATAATAGGACGTGGGAAGGAGGCAGATGGGTCTTTCTGAGGGCAGTGCATCGAACTTCCTAGGTCTTCCAAACCTATAACATTTTAGGACTTTAAAGAGCTCTAGTTGAGAACAGTATCAGGAGCACGTCCCTTGTGTTTGTTGGAGGTAGGAAAGGAGGTCTATAAACCTAAGGAGAAAAGGGAGGGAGAGGGCCAGTCCCATTGCACAGCAATTAAGCACAGTGCATCGGGAGCCAGATTACACATGGCCAACTGCAGCTTGAATCTCAGCCCCAGCAACTTGAAAAACATGTTGGGTATGTATGGAGGCATACCCCAAATCCCGACCGGATGAAGAAATGGAAGAAAAAGAATTGTGGTGTAACCATGCCCCCACTGGGAAGTGCCTTCTCTCTCACCCCACATTGAGAGGCTTTTTTCCCTCTCTCTCTCTCTCTTCATTGAGAGGTGCTTTTTCTCACTCTCATTCTCTCTCTCCCTCTCTCTCTTCCTCTCCCTCTTCCTCTCCATCCCTGGCGAGCATACATACACTTTGGCAATTTATTTAAAAAAGTAAAGAAAAGGCAGAAAGAAATTTATGGAAATTCCTGAATGTTTATCATTAATGCACCTTTTAGACCAAGGACTTGGGCTACCAGAAGACTTCTTTTAAAATACATATTTTTTTAATAAGTATATGTCCTTCCCTTATTCATGCTAGAGTGCCAAGAAGAGAGAAGAAAGCTGCACAGGTCTGAACACACCACAATCTTCCTCCAACCCTCTGGCCCATTGAATCCTGGGCATTTAAAAGCATGCCCAGGGTGTCTCAGGCCAACCAGGCCAAGGATTTGAACTGTGATCACCAAATGAGATCCAGCTTCCCTGGAGCAGTGCATCACTGCTCTGCCACAGAGCTAATGTGTTTTCTTTTGCCTGGGATCCATTAGTCCATCGGCACTATCAGCATAAACTAGATTATCGGTTCTTGACCAAAGACCAGGGTCCTGAAGGGACAGTCACTGAACAAGCCTGGCATAATTTAAAGAAAGAAAGAAAGCTTTTTCTGGCAAAGGTTCAACAATGGAGAAGGGTAGACATTTATTAGGTCGTTGGAAAAGTCATGACATATTTTCCTATGATTTTCTATGCAAAAATGCTTCATGACTTTTCCATCGATGCAATAGATAGTTAAGGGCAACCTGAAAAAGAAAGAGGCCTTAAGGGAGAAAATTTAAAGGGACTCCCAAAGATATGCTTTCTTCTTTAGGATATGCATACTATTGACTGTGGACTAGATAGGGAGGCCAGTCAGATGGTGATGGAGCTTCAAAAAACCACAGAGAGTTTGGAGCTCATTTAGACGTCTAGAAGAACATAGATACGCAGCCCATGATTAAACACATTAAATAGCAGAAACTCACTGCTTCACAAGGCATCTATGTCATGTCTAGACTGTTGAATTTTTTAGAAGCTTCTATTATAATGCCCTGAGATCTACCACCCTGTACTTATATCTCATTTCTGTGCACATTTATTTGGGCATCTGCTAGAAATAGGTGTTACATTGGTCATGGCAGAGAAGTCAAACATGAGAAGAACATGTCTCTATTCTCAAGATACTTTCAGACCATGATGAGCATAGCTACGCACTAGATCAGATGTAATGAGTGATACAGGTGCAAGTACCAAGACAGCACAGGGGAGGGAGACATTAATGCCCATGTGGGGAAGGCTTCACAGAGAAGACACAGTCAAACTGGGCCTTGTTCTGGGGACATATTCGGACAGCGTCCCTCTGCGGAAGATGGCATTCCAGGTTTTAGGCCTACCCAGACCTTCGTTGGGAATAGCCAACAATTCTGTGTTGTAGAAAAGTGAAATCACAGGTATCTCTCTCTGGTCTCTCTTCCTGAAGGTCCCCAAGATGACACTCAAGTCTACACAGAAGACCTGGGCAAGACAGTGACCATCAACTGTCCTTTCAAGCGTGAGAATGCAGGGAAGATAAAGTCCTTGTACAGAAAGACTGCCAATGGCGAAATGCTAGTCACTGACACCAATGGTTATGTGAATGAATACTACAAAGGGAGAATACGCCTAACTCCTACGGGTACCAGCCAATTGACGTTCAGCGTTACCATCAACTACCTCCGGCCTGGTGATTCTGCCACGTACTTTTGCCGCACTGGGCATGATTCCAGTGATGTTAAGAATGTCGTCCTCGAAGTGCGAATGCCTGAGCATGAGCTGGTTTATGGAGACCTGAGGGGTTCAGTGACCTTTGACTGTGCCCTACGTCCTGTGGAGAAAGATATGGCCAAGTATCTGTGCCGAGTGGGCAAGGAGCAAACCTGTGAAGTGCTCATCAACACCCTGAAGAAGAGGAATCCCGCCTTTGACGGCAGAATAGTCAAGGACGAAAATGGTCTCTTTAGTGTGTCGATTGCAGGCCTGAGGAAGGAGGATGCAGGGGAGTACCGGTGTGGAGCAAACCCTGGTGGTCTGCCGCAGGAAGCTGAAACTTACCAGGCTTGGCAACTCTTTGTCAATGAGGGTGAGGCCCATAGGGGGAGTGGGAAGAGTCTGGGCAGTCTGGGAGGTGATAGCTTAGTTCAGCTCCCTGTGGTTCTACTTACGAATAGTCATCAGTCAGTCAAAATCCACTCACTGGCGAGCCCCCAGCTGGATGCTATGTGGGCAGCTGTACAGAAGAGCTAAAATCATAACCTTTGCCTCGTGTTTGTTCCTCACTATGTTTCTCTATTATCTAAGACCTTTTGATGGCTGTCCTACTTAATAGGAATGAGGAGAGTGAAGCTCCTGCTTGAGGCAAATATTGTAGATTTTCTGGCTTTAGTGACATCACAGGCTCTGCAGGGGCCTTTTGTCCCTTGCTCTGACCCTGAGCAAGATGGGTGTCTCATCCCTCACAGTCAGAGAGAAGGGCTGGGTGATCTTTGTCTCGAAGCTTCCCTACAAAGGCAACGGCCTAACCTCAACATTTTCCACTCCCATGTCTAAGGCTGTTATTCAGCATGACCTTGCCCACTCAACTCCACCATAATGAGCCATCAACATGGTGAAATCATTAAACCTCAGCTCCTTCTCTCCCTGAAGTGTTCTGCATAGAATTGCCTTCAGAGGAAGCAGCAAACCAACATCTGGGCACCTGCCATTAAAATCATCTGTCCTTGTGATGTCTCTTTAAGAGATTTTGTTTCCTGCACATCACTTTTATACCCTGTTCTAGGTCCTTGCCATGATTCCTTTGCATCTTCTGTCATCCAGGGCTCTCTCTGGACCTCATCTTTAGCTGCTAAGAGAATGACTGTCCTTCTCCTTGAGATGTGCCTCATGTCCTCAACAATTAAACTTATCTGTACTACATAATTTATATTTTATATCACGTTGTCCTAAATATATTGTCTTAATTTGGAAACAATCCATCTGACTATTTTTTTGTGAGATGACTTAATAAACAGAATAAATTTATATCAAGGGAGATTTTTAAGAAGCTAAGGAGAAGGGTTGATATCCTTTCTTGAAACTTCTTCCATTCTCTGCTCAGAATAAGGTGGAAAAAGGAATGAGATGTCCAGACTGACAGTGAAAGTCACTGGAGGCTGGTCCTGGTGGCTACAGCGATAGGCTTTGTGACATCAAGAAAGTCTTTGCCATTTTCTGAGGAAGGGGAGGTGATTTGTGTAAACCTCACTCTCCACCCCAGTGAGATCAGGGGGATAGACTACTCAGATCATGCCAGGCTATTCCTATGTTGCTGTCCCTCCATCTCATCTCTGTCTGTGTTCCAGAGACCGCGATCCCAAACCGTCCCTCTGTGGTGAAGGGAGTGACAGGAGGCTCTGTGACCATGCTCTGCCCCTACAACCCCAAGGGAAGCAACAGTCTCAGGTCCTGGTGTCATTGGGAAGAGGCTAACTGCCCACCGTTAGTGAGCACCACAGGGCTGGTTAATAAACAGTATGATGGCAGGCTTGCGCTCTTCGAGGAGCCAGGTAACGGCACCTACACAGTCATACTCAACCAGCTCACCACCCAAGATGCTGGCTTCTACTGGTGTCAGACTGATGGAGACCATCGCTGGAGCACCACAGGGGAGCTCAAGGTTGTTGAAGGTAAGAGCTGACCTGGGGCAAGAGGGAAGGGAAAAAACCCACAGTCCTTTTCTAGTCTGTAGTAATATCATCCTCCAGCCACTAGTCCTCCCTTCTCACCTACATTCATGCCAATGGAACAGACCTTAGGAGAGAGCCTACCTATTCCTGAGATCACAGTTTCATGCCTGCAACAAGCACTCTCCACTGTGAATTACCACACGAGGACCTCCTGTTCTCAAAAACATGGGCCTCTTTTGCAATCTGTGGGCATCAACTCAAGTAGCGTATTGGAGGTAGCTCTTTGTATTGAGTCTAGAAGAGAAGGAAGAATAAAGAAAGCAAACTAAAGTACATGCAAGGTTCTGTGTCCTATAATAGGCGGCATTGATCCCAGGGATCGTCAGACATAATGATTACAAGTGCCTGATCTATTTCTTATATTTTAAGCATAATGTACTTATTTATAATTTATTTACAATCATAAAAAGAAAGTGTAGACAATGTTCTCACCAATTCCCTGCAGCATCTCCAAGTACCAACTTTATTTTTCTTTCAAGCACCTGTGCTCACTAGAGAGGCAGAAAAAAAGAGGGAAAGTGAGAAATTACCAGCCAGGGGGAGTGCTCACAGCTCAATTCCTTCTCTTCCATTTTCCTGCTGGGATTTTGGGCATGCCTGCACACATCCCAGATGTGATTTTCAGGTTACTGGGTCCAGGACTTGAACCACATAGTCAGCCATGTGGGATTCAGTCACCTTAACCTTCACATCACCTGCCAGCCCCCAACTTTTTTTAAAGTTTATTTATTGATTTCTTCCATAAGATAGAGATAGGCATCCCCAATGAAGTCCCCATACCACGATCCACTCCCAGTCTCAGCCAGCCTGAAACATGGATATATGCATGCTCTAGAAGACCCAGAACAGGAAGCAGGACCTTTATCATATGGGTTCAGTTATGTTATGGTTGTGCCATTGCTTAATCTCTCCAAGTGCCAACTGCTGTACCTCTTTCTTCCTCCCTCTCTGCTCCAGGAGAACCCAGTCTCAAGGTACCAGAGCACATCACAGCTGTGCTGGGAGAGACCATCAAGCTCTCCTGCCACTTCCCATGCAAATTCTACTCCTATGAGAAATACTGGTGCAAGTGGAGCAACAAGGGCTGCCAGGCCCTGCCCAGTGAAGATGAAGGCCCAAGTCAGGCCTTTGTGAACTGCAACCAGAAGAGCCAGATCATCTCCTTGACCCTGAACCAAGTCACCAAGGAGAATGAGGGCTGGTACTGGTGTGGGGTGAAGCAGGGCCACAACTATGGAGAGACTGCCGCTGTCCATGTGACCGTTGAAGAGAAGGGAAAGGGTAAGCAACTGAGAGCAGGACCTGTGCCCCACGGGACTCAGAGTCTGGAGTTCTCCAAGGCCCCTTCCTAGTAGATTCTCAACTAGGGGTGGAGCCTAGGTTTGGCTGAAAGAGGTGGAGGGTGAGGGTGGGAGTCAAGATTTAGGCCTATGGGACCAGCAGCTAGCATAATGGCTATGTCGCTGAACTCCCATGTAGTTGACCACGGTTCGAGTCCTGGACACGGTAGCTTAAACTCATGCTGGGCACGTGTGCGTGCCCAAGATCCAGAGAGGAGCATGGAGGCAAAGGGATGGCAGCGTGGCCATCCCCCCGGGGGGGGGTGATTTCTTGCTTTCTGTCTCTCTCTTTTTGGCGAGCGCACGCGCCCTGTAGCAAAAACCTCTAAAAAGAAAAAAATATATATTTAGGCTCACATCGTTTCATTGAGACCTCCAAAGAAAGTTATCCCAAACAAACATAAAAACCAAGTCAAAATAGAGAGTTTGTTCTCTAACCTCAGCATTATGATAAGGGAGCAAGACTGAAGTTCCTTCAAGCAAGTTCTGTATCTAGAGATTTTCTTTTTTTTTTCTTGGAGAGGTTTTTTTTTTTTTTTGGAGAGATTTTCACTGTAGGGCGCGTGTGCTCGCCAGACAGACAGAGAGAGACAAAGAGATAGAAAGCAAGAAATCCCCCCCCCCCGGGGGGATGGCCACGCAGCAATCCCTTCTCCTCCATGCTCCTCTCTGGATCTTGGGCACGCACACGTGCCTGGTGTGAGTTTAAGCCACCAGGTCCAGGACTCAAACTGTAGTTGACTATATGGGAGTTCAACAACATAGCCATTACACCAACTGCTTGTCCTGAAATTTTCTTCTATGTAAGAAATTTCAGTCACTATCATGTGTAATACACTCATCCTCTCTCTACCAAAGCCTGTTCTCAAAAGTGAAACATACAGGGAACCAGCAGTTAGCGTAATGGCTATGTCGCTGGACTCCCACGTAGTCGACCGCGGTTCGTGTCCCGGACCCGGTGGCTTAAAACTCACGCCAGGCGCGTGTGCATGCGTGCCCAAGATCCCGAGAGGAGAATGGAGGAGAAGGGATTGCGGCGTGACCATCCCCCCTGGGGGGTGATTTCTCTCTTTCTGTCTCTATGTCTCTCTCTGTCTGTCTGGCGAGCACACGCGCCCTACAGTGAAAATCTCTCCAAAAAAAAAAAAAAGTGAAACATACATTCCTTTACCAAGTCTGAGTAAGAAAATTAAGGCAACCTCATTTAGTAAGTTTACATTTAAAGCCTCTTTATAAAAAGATACCTGGAATGTTTTATCCCTAGTAAGGATATTTTTAGTCCCCTTGAAATCCTGTGACTTCTGAGTCCAACTGAGGAGCCCATCACCAATCTACCACCAGGGGGCAGCACTATCACACCCAGCTGGGCAGTCAGGAAGCCTGAGGTAAGGTTTCAAAATGGCTCCAGAAAAAGGGCTAGCCTGAAGGCACAGCCGGATCAATCACACAGAACCTTGAAGATGGAAATGAACCTTGAAGATAGTAATGGGATGGATATCATATGTGATAAGCAAGAGAAAGCCATCATTGCTCTGTTTCTAATGCTATCCTGGGTCCCATCCAACAAGAACCCTAACCCTGATCCCATGATTTATGTGGAGAACCATAACCCAGCCCCCACTCTGCTCTGCTCCAGGCTCCCATGATGTCAGCCCAGCAAAAGCAAACGCTCCTTCAGATGTGGACCCAGCAAATGCTGCTTCAGATGTGGACCCAGCAAATGCTGCTTCAGATGTGGATGTGGTAGAGCCAAGTGTCAGGAAGACTGGGAACAAAATCATTCAGGATCCCAGGTTTGGTGCAGAGGAAAAAGTGGTGGAGGAGAGCAGAGACCAAGCCAGTGGTAGCAGAGGATCCTTGGATTCCAGCAGGTGAGAAGGGCTCAGGTTCCCTACTCAGAAAACACCCCTGAGGCTGAGTCACCAAGTTTGAGGTCTGTCCTCTAGAATACAGGGTGCAGCCTTTCCTGCCTCCACTTGTGGTTGGGAATGTCCCATGGTGCCCTCTGCCCTTCTCCCATGACGCCCTCTGCCCTTGTCCCATCGCTGGAGCAGTTCAGTTCCATTTCTCAGGACTGAGATGCAGGGAAGTCCTGTCCTTGTCTATGCCAGGTCTAGAACATCTTCTTTAGAAGAGCTGGGAGGAACTAGCAGGAGCCCACCTGCCAGCACACACTGGGCCCCATTCTCCCTTCCAGTGAATGAACAGCTTCATTTCTTGCAGCTCCAATGGGCAAGGTGGGAGCTCAAGAGTGCTGGTCTCCACCCTGGTGCCCCTGGGCCTGGTGCTGGCACTGGGGGCTGTGGCTGTGGGGGTGGCCAGAGTCCGGCACAGGAAGAATGTTGGTGAGTCCTCAGGATGCCCCTGGTCCCCACCTCCAACCCCGAGCCCTCAGTCCTGGCTCACCTGCCCATAGCAGAGGCAGCCATGTCTCTTCTTTCCCATAGGCTCAAACAGATGATTCTGAGAAGCAGGGCAGGAAAATATAAACCCATACACTCCTAAACTTCAAGTGCTTCTGTCCAAATACTGTCTCTGAAAGGCCATCTCCGATTATTTAGAGTCAAAGTCCCAGGGCAGGGTTGCCCAGGTAGGAGGACAGGCCTGGGCTTTCGTCTAGTTTAGCAGCTCATTGGTCGTGTGATCTCAGTACCTTCCTATTTCATGCCTAAGTTTTTGCATGGTCAAGATGGGATGATAATGACAGCCTCATGGGTCCATTGGGAGAATCTAATGAGGTGCTGTTTATTGTGACAAACCAAGGTGGGGGTTATCAAGTCTTGATTATCCCTGGAACGGGCCTGGGGAGGGGATTCTGGTCATTTCCATTCTGCTTTGGGTCATAGTCAGGGGTAAGCACCAGAGCCCACCCCCTCCACTGTCCTGTGTGGATCCACCTAAAGAGAAGTGGCATATCCTGGTCTCCTCTGCCCCGCCCCTATCCCCACACCAGCTCTCTCTCTTCTGGACAGACCGGATTTCCATTAGAAGCTACAGGACAGATATCAGCATGTCAGACTTTGAGAACTCCCGGGATTTTGGAGCCAATGACAACATGGGAGCCGCTCCAGTGACTCAGGAAACATCTCTTGAAGGAAAGAATGGTATGTGTGAGGGAACACCAACCCCAGGAGAATAAGAACTGAACCTGCCCCATGGCTGACCCAGCGGCTGGGGTGGGACCAGGAGGCCATGCAGGGCTAAGCTACCCTCTTTTCACACAGAAATTCCTGCCACCACTGAGAGCATCAAGGAGACTGAAGAACCCAAGAAGGCAAAAAGGGTAAGGGTGAAGAGGGAGAATGAGGCCCTGCTTGCCTGACAAGGAAATGAGGCATGAGAAACTGCAGTTAGACATCAGGAAAAATTGCCTCCACATGACAGCTGATCCCAGAACAGGAAAGATGGTGTAGAGTATGAGGAGGACTTTTATAGGCAGAGATGTTTCTCACTGGTCGTGGGCAAGGCTGAGGAAGGAGGTGAACTCTCTTTAAGCCTGTGAACCTGCAGGAGGGAGGGAGACCAGGAGACGAGGAAGGTGAGTGCATGCAAGACGTGGTCCCAGGTGGGAAGATCAAAATCAAAGGCTGGTGATTCAGGGAATGTTCCTTCTTGGTGTGGGGCCCATGGGCCTCAGGCCACTCACCCTCCCTTGAGGGTTTGCTCATAGTCAGCCTTCTGCTTGGGCCTGGAAGATATTTGCTTGTGGTGGGCAGTTCAGTAGTCACTAGAAGCCTCTGCCCACCTTAACCAAGTGTCACATTACTTAAAATTGCACCAGAGACAACCACTGCCTTTGAGTTCCATATCACCCTCTCCATGTGCCCTCATGTACTCAGGCACCCTGGGAGGATAACACCTCATGCCTCAAATCCTGAGGGGTTAGTGCTTTTGTTTTGTTTTGTTTTGTTTTTGCTAGAGGTTGCAAGTGTTCCAGAGAGAGGCAGAGAGACAGAGAAGTGGAGGAAAAGCATTCCCCATGGCGAATATCACACAATATTTTATCCTCCATTTTTCCTTTCTGTTGGGATTTTGGGCACACATGCGCATATGCCCAGTATATTTCATCAAGCTACCAAGTCCGGGACTCAAACCACACAGTCAGTCATGTGGATCTGGCTGCCTTAACTACCAGGCCATGGAGCCAACCTGTGTCAGTACAACAGACAGCTGCAGTTAGCATAATTAGGAGAACAAAGTAGTTTGAGAGACAGCCTCCCACTCCCTCTAGCCTGGTGGTGCTGTAAAGCTCTTCTCTGGGCTGGTGGAGAAAGGAAACATAAACCTTCCTGGCTGCTGCTACCTGGGTCACTTTGCCTGTGAACCGTGGGCACAGTTTCCGGGGACAGGCCCAGGCAAAAGAGGTGGTTCCACTCTGTGTGTCGGAAGGAGGTAGTGAGACAAAGGAAGCTATTTTTAGCAGCTGCAACTTTCCATTTCTCAAAATTCATCCATCTCAACAAACATAGGGGGTAGAATGAGAATGTGGGTCCATGTGTTACTTGGGCCAACATCATAAATTCAGGATATTTAGTGTATCCACTCCCTCCCATCTTCCTCCCACTGAGTAAACACTCCCAACACTGATCCTCTCCTCTTGCCCTTAGTCATCCAAGGAAGAAGCTGATCTGGCCTACACAGCCTTCCTGCTCCAGTCCAACAACATGGCCACCCAGGCCCAGGACAGACCCACAGAGGCCTAGAGAGCACCTGCAGCCTGTGCCCTCCATCTGCCCATGACAATCGCCTTCAGAATCACATTGATCCTGGCAGCCCTCAGCTCCAGAGGGCTCCACAGCCTGCATGCACATTCCACCTAGGCTTTCCCT